GTACAGCTAGATTTACAGATAAACCCTTCCATGATAATTTGTCACAGGTGTAATTAATTGATCCCTGATTCTGTAATACAGAAGATTTATAGTGCCATACCTCTCCCATACAGTAGGAGGGATGTTTTTAGCCTTGCAGTACAGCTTTTGTAGCTGCTGGATGCTCCCACTCCATCACCATCCATCTGCACGTGTAGTCCCGTGGATTGTAGCACTGCTGTAAGCAGGAACCCTCAGTCGCACGCCATGGTGCCTTCTGTCTGCAGAAATACCCCCTGATGACTGAAGGCTACTGGTGGTTTATTCCCGTGTTACTTCCCTTAAGAAAGAGCACTTTGTTTTACCTCCCCAGATCTGTGCCAGCAGAGATGATGCAGGGATGCCCTTCGTGCATCCCTTCGATGCAGGGAGACCAGCAGCGGGGTTTTTATGTGGACGGTTCGAAGCTGGTGCCTTGTGATAATCATGCACAGACCGAGAGGTTGATGGAACAAGGCAATACGATGAGAACAACAGCTCCAGCTACCATGACTGCCACCAGCAGTCGGTCTTGCGTGGTCATCCCCATCCAATTCCAACAGGTGTAGCGTGCAGGCACTGTTTCCACTGTCCAGTGTGGCTGTTTAGCACTCTTACTGAATTTAGTGCTGTTAGACGCGCCATAAAATGAACTTGCGGGAGTTTCTTTTGTCCCGAGCCCCGCCATTGTTTCTTGCCCCCTCCGTGACAGCGAGCAGCAGAAGAGAGCATGTTGGCTTTCCTCCCCCTGGGCTGAAGGGTCAGCCTTGCCAGCCCGCGTTTTTGGCGCTCACACCCTGTCCGCCACTGCTGCTCCCGGAGCGAGGGTGGCCAAAGGCAGAGATGTCCTAAACCACTGCCTGCTTGCAGGCTGGCAACGTCTTTAGGAGCCTCTCTCTCCCCCATGTGACAAGTGGTCTTTGAAAATACCTCGCGAGTGTCCAGAGATAACCTGTGGTCACTGTCGGTCTGTGGAAGCTGCTGCTGCCCGTTGGCGCTATGCAGAGCTCCTGGGCCCGGCATAACGAGCGGCCCCACAGCGGGCAAGCTCACACAGCGCGGCACAAGTGTGGGACGGCTGTGGCACCTCCCCGACCCCTCTGAGGGAAGGCCGCAGTGGGGCAGCTGCAAAGTCATGACCCCAGAGGGTCACCTGGGCCCGAATCCTGCTCTCCCCGGCCAGGCGGAGGGGTGCTGGGTGACCCGGAGGGGTGCTGGGTGACCGCGGCCCTGCTGCTGACGTGTGGCCGAACCACCTGAGAGCAGCCATGCCGGGGGAGAAGGCCGCGCACGGCTCGGCTCGGCTCTGCTCTGCTCTGCTCTGCTCTGGGAAACGGGCCTTGCTCGCGATATCGAGGAAACGGCTTCAAGTTGTGCCAGGGCAGGTTTAGATTGGATATTTAGAGTGCTCAGAGGCGCATGAGCCATCTCTGCAGCACAAGCAAGCTCAGCTCCCCACGGCTGCTCGCGCAGGCGGCTCCGAAAGTTGCTCAGCCCTGGCAGGCAGGCAGGGCCCGTCCTGGGCTCGTC